TTATTTAAATATTTTAAATATTAAAAAAAATAGATCATAACTAAATTTATGCTATTTTTAAGCTAAAATTATTACACGAACTCTACAGCTTAAGGGATAATAAATATGCTATTATAGCTATACTAAGTATAAAAATAAAAATTATATAACAAATACAACAATTTGTATATTCTTATAAAGTTTTGCTCTATTTTTAACTCAAAAGCTTTATAAAAATCAAGACATACTATGAGTTTATTTGAATTTAGTAGATAAACAATATCAATTATTTGAAGAAGGTAAGCTAAATCCCTACTTTTTCTTAGAAAAATTGTAAAAATAACAATAAGGTAAAAAAAATAGATGCAAGAAAGACTAAAATTTTCAAAAAAGAGTATTTTTTTTATTTTGACAATCTTGCCTTTATTATTACTAGAAGTAGAATATAAACAAGTATACAAAATGTCCAAACAAAAAGCTTGCAATTAACTAAATACCTTCAACCCTTTTATTTTCACAATAAAGACTTACTCAGCTACTCATAATAGTGTTTAAGTGCAATTTGCTATAGCAATAATTCACTTATTTCTGGCATCTAACTTGCTAAATGACTTCTCGAAAAAATCACTAAAAAGATTGACTTTTTTTTAATATTTTTTTTTATTCAAAAGAGAAAAGAAAATAGGTGAAATAAAAAAAAAAACAAAAAGAAAACGAATGCAACGAAAAAAGAAAAAAAGAAAAACAAAGAAAAATAAAAAAAATGAATACAAATATGAAAGAGAATATAAAAGAGAAAATGACAAAAAAAGAAAACAAAAAAGACAGTAAAAAATTCTATCTTTTAGCACTACTATTACCCATGCTAGGCTAAAAAAAACTATTATAAAGCTTTGCCTTAATATTTAAATTTTCTGACTCGGTTATTCAAACTTCTAAATGACATAAGTAGCCTAATTCAATATTATATAAAGTAGCATGGCTTGCAAATAAAATAAACCAAACATGTGATTGCAGCCTGCTAGAACTGTTCAGATTTGGGAGGTGTAAACAATGCCGATCTTTTGGAAAGGATAAGCTGTTTTGCCTATTTTGTGAAAAATTTTGGAAGAGCAGTAAGAAGGTGAAGAAAAAAGACAACACCACTTGTTTTGTTTAGTGAAAGAGTATATTTTTTTTATTAAATATGACAGCAATATACCTTTCTTATTTGAAGGCTGAGAGAATATGTACTTATTTTTTTGGTAAGTGATAAACTCTAAACTTGTTAGCAAGTAGTATATGAGAACTACTTCTAAATGACAAGTGCTATTCTCTACAGTAAATGATAAACTCTGAGACTATCAGCAAGTAGCATATAAGAACTATCTTTAAATGATAGTTGCTGACTTATAGGCTTTCTCTATAACACTTAACCAGTGTATATGCTTGTGTTTTTTTAAAAAGCTTTTGGATTTTTTGTAGAAAAGTGATTGTCAAAAAAAATATTAAAGAAAAGTATTGAATTTAAATTATTTTAACAATAGAAGTATAAAATTATTATGCATGTATGGATTCTGTGCCAGGTTATAACAATTATTTATCACATGATAATATTCTAGTATACAAATATGTATAAACATATTTATGAAACAGTTTTATATATATCATTATACAAGTTTTTTTAAAGTAATGCCAAAAACTAGATTTTAACAAATTTATTTTAAAGTTTAGTTTTTCTTTGGCACTGCCTAATATCTCAATATTTTCTTAATAAGAAAAATGAATAAATTAATGCTCTTACTTTTTTATATATTCATAGCAATAAACTCAACTCTGAGTATTGAAGCAGTAGTGGTTGCTCTTCATAAAAATACTGATTTAACTATCATTTTTTTTGTATTCACCATAATAAAATAAACTTTTTCTTACTGATATTCTTATTAGCTATTGCTGTTAATTGAAATATATATATAGATAAGATTAAAAATAAGCCAAAATCGAATAAGCACAAAGTAGTAAAGGATATCTAAATCATTCACTACCTTATATATTGAATTGAAACTTCCAATTCTAATACTTTTTTTTACTACTGAAAGTATAGTATTTCTGAATTAAATTAATTTATTATTACCAGTTTAATAAAATTTTAAAGTTTGTAAATAATTTATATTTGAATTTAAAGAATAAATTATTGTTATGTAAAATATAATTATAATACTAGTTGTCAATTTCAAATAGTAATTAACACTAATAAAATAAAAATTCAATATGTTGAATGGCATTTGAATAATGCTATTCAATATATCAAATTTTTATTTTTTACCAGTGTAATATTACAATAAACTTGCAAATATAAAAGATTACATTAATATATTGTTCAAAATTAAAGTATAAAGCCATTAAATATTAAATATTTTAATATATTCAAGTTTTTTTTATTATCAGTATCACAATAAGTAAATATTTAAAATAGTGTTATGAATAAATTCATTTAAAAACTTTAAAGAATACCATAAACTAGAAAACTTTTTATTTAATATACATGTACTATTTGTATATTATTATTCATTTAAAAATTAATTATTTAGTATTCAACTTAGCTACTAAAACTTATTTTTGCTAGTAATTGTTATGTATAGTTATTAACTAGAATAAAGCTATAAAGAAATTCCATTGATACTTTCTAATATAAAATATGAACATGCCACAAGAATTATTAATTCAAATTATTTTTACTAACATTTTCACTAAAATTATACTTCTTTTTACCAATTGTTTTAACTTTGCATGCTGGTATAACTTGAGTATCCTGATTTTCTTTGTTACCAGTTTTTCTACACTTAATAGATTCAATCTGTACATGAATTTTAGTACTACTTTTCACTCGTACAAGAGGATCTGTACCAGGATTCATATTATAAAGAAAGAATGTTAATGCTAGAATAGATTTGGCTTTTGTAGTATTATATCTCTTAGCCATCTTTTCAAGGGCTACTCAAAGTTGTGGTCTACAACTTTCATAATTATCTTTAACTATTTTAAGAAATTCTGAATTACTGTATAACTTTATCAAATAAAGATTTATTTAAATAATATTATTTATATTAATTATAATTGCATATTATGCAAAAGTATACTTGGTATAAAAAAAACAAATCTATATATCAGCTACTATATTTACATTGGCTACTATATTCTCATTGGCTACTATATTCTCATCAGCTACTATATTCTCATCAGCTACTGTATTCTTATTGAATCTCATATTCACATCAGCTACTATATTTATAATCTAATTCTTATTTGTATTTGTTACTAATTGATTTGTATTGATATTTATTGCAATTTGATTTGCATTTGATTCTTCATACTAATTATCATTCATATGAGTCTTGTAAGGATTTAATGATACATAAAAAGAATTATCCACTGTGATTTCTGTTATAATTTTTAAATATTAGTTTAAAAAGAAAAAATTTAAAAAATTAAACTAAAATTTTATATTATTAACTTCTTACTATATGCAATATATGCGAAACAAGCTTGATCATCAGGTAATAAGGATGGAAAAAATTTTAAAGACCCTACATGGTGCTTCTATTAATTCAATAATGAATATAGAATAATTCAGTTCCTTTTTTTTAACTTGGAACCAATATTCAGAACTTATATTAGTTTGTCAAATATTTGTTGTATTAATATCATTTCAACTAGAATATAAGAATTTTTAGGGATTCTAATCTGACCAGGATGACTATATGCTATCCCAAGTAACTGACACTTATAATAGTATTCTATAGTTATAATAATAAATTTAAACACCTAAACAATATTGTATATCTGAGTATGTGCGAATATAATATTCTTTAGCAACCCAAAACTAGTGACTTGAATCGGTTGAGCTATAATCGGTTAACTGGCCCGAACAGAATAAATTTCAGGTAATCGGTTGAGGAAATTCTTAATCAGTTGACCCGATACAACTGGTCGGCGAGATTAATATGGCATGAGAAAATGTTAAAATGACGTAGGATCCAAAAAGTTCTGACAAAAATTAGAATAAAGCTTCTAGAATTTCCAAATGTACATAGTATTAATATATATATTAATCTTAACCGGTTGGTAATCAGTTGAATGAGATAATTCGGTTCGGTTAACCAATTAAGAAAATTTCTCTCGGTTCAAATCACTACCCAAAACTATGCTCTATATAATTATTAATGTTGTTATCTCGAATAAGAAGTTCTGAGCAAAACAATACTGCCTAGAATTGTTATCAGTTTCAAAGTTGCTCAAAATATTTGTACAATTGTGAGCAGTGTTGTATATAGACATATGTCCAAGCAAATTATTGAATATAGACAGTCCATGGACACAATGTCCAATGTCCATGTCTATAGACATGTCCATATTTTTATATATTTATAGACATGTATATCCAAATTTTTATATATCCATGTCCATTGACAACACTGATTGTGAGTACATATAATAGTAATTAATTTTTAATTCATTATACCATTCGATCATTTTAGCTTTAGTTTAAGAATATAATATTCTTTTCATAGTAGTTATTATAGATTTTTTATGATTTTTGCTTATATTATTATTTGAATTATATAACCAGCACCAAAACGCCTAGAATATATAGAATATATATAATAATCATTTTGAATTTGGCCAGCAATACATTAATGTATTATATTCTGAGTTTGAATTATTTATAAAAAATACTAATAGATCAGTGTTAAGACTGCAATCAAAAAATGCATATAGTGGAAGAAGAGATTTTAGCATTCCTATCTCTTTTCAAAAGTTATTTTCAACTCATCTGATGTTATAATAAGTCCAAGAGATAACATCTTTGTAATACAGCTTGTATAGAACAAAGTAACTAATATATTTAGTAGTTCAAAAGATGCCGAAGTATTCACATAACAAATTTTGCCTGATTGATTGATTTTTTCATGAACATGAACTATTAAATTTGTAACAATACACAGAATAAATGCTTTTTTTGATTGTGAATCATATTCTTGCAAAATAGTATGACCTTTACCAGAATTATTATAGAAATCAACTTTATCTTTAAGTCGTTGAGCTATAAATGTGCTATTTTTCTCTCCTAAACAGCATTTGCGAAATTCTTTAAACAAATTTGAAACATAATTATGATTTGGATTTTGTGTATAGTTTGCTAACAATTGCATAAGTTCTTGATCATTATTTGCTTGTAAATAAAGATTATCTTCATATATAAATTGGGCAGTAGCTAGTAAATGTCTATTTTTAAAAAGTTCAAGATATTTGTTATAAACTTCATTATTAACATGTCTAAAACTAAGTGCTTTAGCAGAATGAACTATATAGTTGTGAATATATTTAATATCTATCTCAAGTGAATAATCTATTTGAAAATTTTGTTACTCAAGTTTAAGATAAAAAGTAGCTTTGTATTCAGTATTTCTAATATGTAGTAAATTAGGGTTTTTTAAAATGAGATTTTCTTGTTTTTGTCTCACAGTATTACTATGAATACAGTGTCGCAATTGTTTAAATATAACTTTTTGCCTTTGAATTTGATAATCTTTAGATTGAGGCATAGTAGTTTTTAATGTTTCTTTAAAATCTACAAGCATCAGGAAAATTAAATAAGTGCAAATTTGTAAAATCTGTATTTTTGCAGATTTTTGAAGAATTGTTGTAAAAAATCTGCAAAATTTTTTAGAATTTGAAGTTTTGCA